CACCTGGCATCCCAAAACGAGTCCGGCTGCTACGTGGCATCGGGTCGCGGTGGGTGATGCGGAGATGCGGCCCAGCCTGACAGTTGCTGGAGCAGCGCTTGGCTGGTGATCTCATCGGCCGCACGTGCGTCGATCTGCTATCCGCGGACACCTTCACCACGCCTAACTCGACACATACTCTCCGCCAGCATGGACAAATTCAAGAGTGTAGCCAAGAGTGGCTGGCACCCAGAGAAAGAACGCGCCAACAGCGGGAGCAGTGCAGGGGGGCAAAGCGATTCCAAGATTGGACAAGTGGTATGCAAAGACACATTTCTCTGACAGGCATGCATTCTGACTTGCTTCTGATATATAGAAAGGCTGGGTTGGCAAGGCCAAGGGCAAGGATCTTCACGCAGAAGCTGCCCGTCAACATCAATCTACGCCTCTGTCGTCGTTGAAAGACCCGGCCTCGTTTGCTCCACCGCCAAAGCGCCTCGACTACAATGCAGGCTCTTCAGCAGCAGCGAGCGCCTGTTCGCCCACCGGAGTGGCATCTGCTCCCACTACAGGGGCTAAGCAGAGGCTACAGGAGAGGGAAGAGGCGCGGCGAAGAGCAGAAGAAGAAGCCAACAAGCCGGCCCCAGGACCATATAGATCCGACACGACCGGATTGAGCACTGCCCATCTACCCAAACCCCCAGCCTTCCGACCGGGTGCTGCTTCAGCAGCGTCACCAGCACCTCCTCCCAAGCCGAAGCCTAGCCTCCCTCCCCGGCTACCTCCGCGACAGAACTCTTATCCCGACGAGTTTACGCCACCTCCTCCACCGACATACAACGAAGCCACACAGCAAGGGACACCGGCACAAGGGGTCATGAACCAGGCTGCGTTGGGTCGCCTTGGGCAGGCGGGTGTAGCAGTTACGGGCTTGGGCATTGGTCGGACGGCATCACCTCCAGTGCCGCCTCGGGCGAATCCGTCCCCTCCCATACCGTCGCGTGCGAAGCCCTCACCACCAGTACCGCCTCGGCAGAACTCTGGCCTAAGCGTCAATTCGCAGGAAGCACCTACCAATAATCAAGGATCGCAGATGAGCGAGCTGCAAAGTAGGTTTGCAAGATTGTCGGGGCCAAAGTCGCCAGCAGAACCTCCTGCAACGGGTACATCATGGGCGGACAAGCAGGCCGCGCTGCGTACGGCGAGCAATCTGCACAATGACCCTTCCAAGGTGTCTGTCTCTGATCTGAAAGGAGCGGCGTCGACAGCGAACAACTTCCACCAACAACACGGCGAGCAGGTTGCATCTGGGTGGAAGTCTGCCAATTCTCTCAACCAAAAGTATGGAATTGCAGCCAAGGTTAACAATCTTGCGTCATCAAGTGCATCACCACCACCGCCAGCACCAGCAGTACAGTCGCCGGTAGCGAATAGCCAGGGAGGGTTGGGAAAGAAGGCCCCTCCCCCACCACCGCCAAAGAAGAAGGATCTAAACGGCGGCGGCGGCGGGGTCTCAAATGAGCCTCCGCCAATCCCGCTGAGCAGCAAGCCCAAGTTCTGAAGCTGTGATGACAGATTGGGTGTCCTTGGATAGACGTGCATGTACATATGTAGTCGAAATAATATACCGGCTGTTGTGATAATGTTCCCCGCATGTATTATCGTCGCTGTCTCCCCCCCAAGTCACCTTGCCAGTTACGGCCCAGCGGCTCTGTTCCGCAGCTTTATTAGGCTTGGGCTGGACCCTCGACGTGTTCGCTACGTACAATCCCTGCCCGAATTTTTTGCATCTTTTTTTTGTTGACCAGATCTGGATCTGGTGGCAATTGAACAGCACTGTGGACCGGATGGGGTTTTGGCATCGAGAGCGAATGAAAGAGACACGTATATGCATTCACGCACACATAGAAACATGGCCTGCACTTCCTAATAGCGTTAGGCTTGCGAGGCTCACGGCAGCGGCAACAAACTCCCAAGGCCAAGTCTTTGAGCGTTTTGTTACTTGTGGCTAGGGGGGACTGGGGACTGGGGCCTCGGCACGTCATAGCGATGTTATTCGCCCAAAAATGTTGCGTCGCCGCTAAAATCCTCACCAAAACCAAGAGTCCCGTCCAGGTCCATTGCCTGCTCTTTCCAGCTTCCGGTCCGATGCACCTTTACTAAATACGTGGTCCCCCCGAGTCTATCTGTGCGCATTGCTCTCGGTATAACTTGTCTTCGCTGCCCCGGATTCGTGTGTTGGAACTGTCAATTGCGCAAACAACACTGGCCATTGCGCGTCTTGGGGTGATAAAAACAACACAACAAAGAACCCAATCGCAACCGTCTCACTCTCCCTCTGCTGTTGCCCGGGCCTCGTACCCACGACAGCTATCCCCACCTCTCGAGGCTTATCGACGACGCCGCTGCTTAGCGTAACGGCTCGGGATTGGGCCTTACCGAACCGCAGAAAACTTCCCTCGCGGCCCCTTCACCACACCGGACCATCACCACGCCCTGCGACCTCCGAGTTAAACCATCCACACACCGAGCCATCATGTCTGGCGCAGGTCCTTCTCTGCACCCCGGCGACTGGCCGTCGAGAGCAGTCTTTCAGTTCCCTCCCGACGCTGCGCCCTCGCCCATCCCACCTCCGTGGACCGGCGAGGCGACGTTTGCGAACCCATTTCCCATTCCTGAGGACATCTACCAGGGCGCTTTGTCCTACAAGGTCCCGCTGACCATTGCCTCTGTCTACTTTGTCACCGTCACCTACGTCAACTGGTACAACCGCCAGCATGGAAACAAGCCGTGGAGGATCGCCAAAACCCGACCCTTCTTCGCGTTTGTCATCTTCCACAACGTCTTCTTGGCCGTCTACTCGGCCATCACCTGCGTCGCCATGATCCGCTGCCTCAAGCACTCCTTCCCCCACTACAGCGAGCCCAACGCCGTCGTTGGCACCATCGACGCCCTCTGCAAGATCCACGGCCCCCGCGGACTTGGCGACGCCGTTACCTTCAACAACACCAATGACTCTTGGAGCAGCCTCAACCCAAACATTGCCTTGGCTGCCAGCGGTCTTCCCGACAGCTCCGATCTCGGCAGGATCTGGAACGAGGGGCTTGCTTTCTGGGGCTGGTGGTTCTATCTCTCCAAGTTCTACGAGGTTCTCGACACGGCCATTATCCTCGCAAAGGGCAAGCGAAGCACCACCCTCCAAAAGTACCACCACGCCGGTGCCATGCTGTCCATGTGGGCTGGTATGCGCTTCATGTCCCCACCCATCTGGATGTTTGCTCTGGTCAACTCTGGAATCCACGCTATGATGGTAAGAATCTCTACCCTTTGCTCCAGATGGACGCCTGCTAATTCTTCTAGTACACCTACTACACTGTATCAGCCCTCGGCTACCGTGTCCCCAATGTCGTCAAGCGGACCCTCACCACGCTGCAAATTACCCAATTCCTCGTCGGTTCCGCCTTTGCCGCTATGCACCTCTTCATTTCCTACACCGTCCCCGTCTCGGTCGCATACAAGGTTGCTGAGAAGGTTGCCCAGAAGGCTGCTCCCGAGGCGGTCGCGTCTACAGTCTCTTCTGCAGTCGCCTCTGCTACTGAGTCTGTTGCCGAGGCTTTGCCTACTGTAACTGGCGTTGCCGTTGCCTTCCTCAGGAAGCTCATCTACCGTGCAGCTGGTGACGAGGGTCTTGCGGAGAACATTGCCGTCCCTGGTCAACCCATTGCAGTCCGCCAGCAGCAGCCACTACAAGAGGCAGCCACTGCGGTGCCCACTCCTCTGCACAACGCTGTACACAACTTGCTCCACCCTCACGAGACTATCGAGAAGACCTTCTACCGCACCGAGTACCAGACGGTTCCTTGTGTCGATACTTCCGGTCAGGCCTTCGCCATCTACGTCAATCTGATCTACCTCGCCCCTCTGACCTTCCTCTTTATGCGATTCTTCTTCAAGTCCTACCTCCGCCGCTCGTCTCCCAACACCAAGCGCTCGAAGCCCCGCACCATTTCCGACGCAGCTGGCGATGCTAGCCGCAAGGTAGAGCGCGAACTCGACTCGCTGGACAAGTCAGCTGAAGATGCCATCTCATCGGGTGTGAACATTGCTAGGGATGCTGTTCGTGGAAGGCGACCAGTCAATGCCACGGTCAAGGACGAGAGGCAAGGTAGCATGAGCCCGGCCAACCAAAAGTTTCTAGACAATGTCAGCCGCAGAGTCAGCCAGAAGCTACACGAGCTTGACGAGGGTACCGAGGCTTCTGCCCAAAAGGCAAAGCAGATTGCCAGGGAGGTTGTTGCCAAGGCTGAGCAGGCTGGCCACAAGGTCGACCAAGCATACGAAGACAATGAAGAGGATGTGGCTGAGAAGGCAAAGATGAACGGCAACCATCAAAATGGGCTGACGGATGCCGAAGTTGCAAAGCCCGAGTCCGAGCCCGAGCCAAAGGACGTTAACAACACATTGAAGAAGGGCGACGGGCTGTTCTAGATGGACAGTTGTAGCACTGTCACAAGCAAATGCATCCAACCCGAAGGGAAAGGAATCATCTAGCTTTTAGCGGATCCCAAAGCTTGGTTGACGCCGCACTACTCCTACCAACATCGGGTTCGGAGTTTTCTTTTTTTCGCCTTGAACCGGCTTTTGAGCGCTGTATTAGAACCTGGTTGAGCGAGATCCAGACTTTTCTTCTTCAGGCTTAAACCTCCCCCTGGCACGTTTTGCAAAGGGCGTACGGAGAAGAAGGAGCAAAAAGCGTTTTTTGGAGAATCATGGCGTATAACAATTTTTTTAAAACTATGTTTGACAAATAGGGCTGGGTGCTATGGACGGTATGGGGCGAATTGTGGAGGGGTTGGGTTTTTTTGGTTTTTTGTTTGTATTTAAGGAAAATTAAGGTCCGTGAAGGATGGAAATGGAAACGGGGCCCCAAGCCTTGTGTCTTTTAATTTTTTTTTTCTGTTTCAAATGACTTTCAATGCCAGATTAATGTTTCTTTTTTTCTTTCCGAACGATTTGTCTCGCTATACTGCTTGGATATCATTACCACTCTTGAAACACAACACCAGAGTGTTATCATCAGAGTGAGAGTTACTTGTACATACCACACGCCTATCGTATATCCACCCCATACCCTCCAAGCCCACCCCCCAACTCCAACCGTTCCTCCCTCTCCCTCTCCCTTACCTTGTCCCCTCTTTCCCTCGTCGTCGTGGTCGCCACAACCGCCCCATTATGAGCCTTCTTCTCGCCGACACCTCTTCCGCCAACAGCACCAGCATTATCGTCATCATTCCTTGCAAAAACCTGCAAGCCACGCAGATGGGTATCCTTTCCATTCTGGTGATTTTCGAGGATCTTGACTTGGAGGAGATGGCAGCGTAGGGTGGGCATTTTGGGGGCGCGGGGGCTGCGGGAAGGGGGGATGCGGCGTGGGAAGGAGGAGCTTGGGTGGGAGGGGGTGAAGGAGGTGAAGGGGGCGCGGGGGTAGTGGAGGGAAGGGGTTGAGGTTGGATGGAGGGAGGGGGTGGAGGTGTAGATGTTGGGTTGGTCGAAGGAGGAGGTGGGGAGGGGGGTGTGGAGGTGCGGTGGGGGGAAGGGGACGGCGTTTTCCGAGTCGGAAGATAGGTCTTGGTGGGGTGTTTGGGTTGGGACTGGGGTGGTGGTGTCTGTGAGGAGGTGGTGTCGTTGAACATTTGTGGTGGTGGGAGGAGGGTTGGCTTGGTCTTCATTGTCGTCGTTGTCGTCGTCGCCTTGGTCGTCGCCTTGGTCGTCGCTGTCTACGTCGCCGACACCTGAGAAGTCGGCCCAGATCCAGCCTCGGGGGCTTTCAAGTCGCATTTCTCCCCATTCTTGGAGGTCGTTCATGCCGCTGCCGGCGAGGAAGATGATGCGTGTGGGAGTGTAGGATTCATCTTGCTCAAAGTCGAGATAGAGGCGAAGGCCGACTATGCGGACGAGCTTGAAGAAGTGGATGTTGAGGTAGTGTGGTTGGGGGCCGTCGGATTGCCAGAAGAGATTTGTGTTTGCATGCCGGAGCTGGGGTATTGAGCAGCCTGGTTTGGAAGAGGAGACGGTCCATGAGGCCAAGGTGCTGATTTCACGGAGATATGGCGGTGGTGGGTCCAGATTGGGGAGTGGAGTTGTTTGAGAGGGCGAAGCAAGCGCTTCATCTTCAAGTTCTTCGTCCTCTTCGTCTTCGTTTTCATTTTCGTCTTCCTCGTGACCAGCGTGGTCTTCGTCATCCAGGCCTACTGGGTCGTCGGCCTCGGCTTCGCCCTCATCGTCGGTTGTGTGCTCTTGGCGAGCTCCGAGGTCCATGTCATTGTCTGTGTCATCTGCCTCTGAAGGCGGAGTTGAATGGTGAGGTTGGCCTCGGTGGCGACGTGAAGGCGGCATAATTGGTAGTATACCGGTGAAGTCGACGTCACAATTGGGGATAGAGGAGCAGGCAGAGGCTGCACAAGCAGCAGGGTTCAGGGATTTGTGTGTGTGTGCAGCAATCTGTTTCCGAAAAAGCAAGCTGAGGCTGCATGGCCATCAATGCCGAGCGTATACTAGAGATGTTGGTGTAGTGCGTACGCGCTGCCCTGCTCTAAACAAAGCCGGCAGGGAAGACAGATGCGGACCCACCCGCGGCTCGGAATGCTGGGCCGAGCGCGCAACGCTTCTGTGTGTGTGTGTGTGTGTGTGTGTGTGTGTGTGTGTGTGTGTGTGCTTCGTATGGACTTGTTTTGTGGAGCGTGTGTGGTCAGCGCGGTGCAGAGACGACGGATTAGTCCATGTACGGCGGGTGGAGGAACCAGAGGCCCAGGCTCACGTCGGCCCTATTGCTGCAAATCGCCAGGTACACGCCTACTGCTGCGACGGGCGGAGACGCGTCTACCCGTTCCCACCCTCGCACGCCCACCATTCCCCGCCCACCTACCAATCAACACCACCTGCCAGCATCTTGCTACAATGTCCTCATCGAGATGCCCTTTCGCCCTGCCAATCACAAGCTGCGGGGTCTTTTCTTCAGCCAGACAATATCTGGCACGTCGATCCCTAGGTATAGGTCTGGCCAGCTGCTGTTTCACGACAAATCAGACCATACCAAGCTTTGGGCTGGCCTCCGTCACACGCCTGCTACTAAGTAATCTATCGAGCCAGCGTCGCCGGTAGCCCCTTGACGCCATCCGGGGCTTCGGATGGTCGAGGTTTGATGGCCTGGGGCGGCTTAGTCGTCCTCCGATGCATCCCTGCATAAACTATCTTCATAGTTTGCCTAATCCTGTCCACGCTGCATACACTCCCCTCAACCCATGACTTTAGCAGCTTCACCAACCCTGTTGCTTCTTGCTTTTTTGCGGCACTTTGTTAATCAAAGAAATAACGCGGCACTTTGTGCACTGCCTCTTAGTGTTCTTAATCTGGCCCGCGAACCGTTCCCTCTACAATCCGTCTCTCTCTCTTTCCCTCCCCTATCTATAAGTGACATGTAGCGTTTCCAGCTATTTTTTTTTGGGTCGCGCCAGTTCGTGTCCCGTCAACTGCTTTAGCTTCGCGCTTACATTGTCCAACATATTCGCCTCTTCCTTGGATACGCATCTCTTTTTCTTACCCTCTGGCAATCGAACACCTTGGACGTGCCATCTTCTATCTATCACGACTGGTAGTCACGGCATCATGAATGAACCGGCTCCTGGACAAGTGTCACACCTGGTGGGGCATACTTACAGGCTCATCATCGCCTTTCTTATCCTCGCATGGATCTTCATATCCTTGCGAGTCTACACTCGCACTGTGATTATCTCCAACTTCGGTTGGGACGATATTGCCATGGTATCGGTAGGAGTAGGTACTGATCCCCCGATTCACTCATTCTCTGTTCTGACCTGATTAGGCGATATTCACTGTATACTGTGGAACAATCATTTACATCTTCCACCATGGTGGCGGTACCGTTATAACCGACTTTGATCAATTGAACCACCTGATGAAGGTGCTCGCATTCCGTCACCCTTCTACCACTGCCTAGCTGACTATTGTAGATTGCCACTGTTTCCGAATCCTCCTACGTCTTGACCATGATGCTCATCAAGATATCCCTTGCCATCTTCTTCGCCCGCATTGTAGTCAAGCGATGGCATTTGATGGTCATATACATGTTTGTCACTCTCAGCATCATGTCGTCAATCGCCACCTATTTCTACGTCTTCCTTCGATGCGGCCCAAATCTGGATCAGTATCTCATCCGGGAACTCATGCGAGACTGTACGCCTATTCAACTCGACATATTCATGGCCTACCAGCAAGGTACGACGAGCACCGACCGACTCATAGCCTGTAAGAAGCTAATGTTGGTTCTTTAGCCGTCTTTAATTCCATCACGGATGTCGCCTTCCTTTTCATGCCGGTCTTGCTGCTTTGGAATTCCCCAATGGAGCGACGAGCCAAAATTTCAGTTGGCATCATCTTGGTAGTGGCCACACTGTACGGCCCACAAGACCATATCCAGTCTCAGTGCTAACGTTTGACAGCGGCGCGGTATGCTCACTCATACGATTCAAATATATCAAGGGTGTACTCAAAAATGGCGACTACTTCTACAGAGCCGTCCACATCTGTATGTGGAGTACCATCGAAGTGGGCACCTGCATCATTGCCGGATGCACAGCCACACTAAGACCGCTGATGAAGATTGCCTTGGTTCAAGTACAAGTAACGCTTCCCCTTTCGCGACTTGGTTCTGGAGCACCGCCTACATCCATCACTCTGAAGAGCAGTCAGCAATCAAGCCATCGCTCGTCCCGTATGATACGCACTCTAGACAACGACCTAGAGTACGGAAACGCTGACCCCACGGGATCAACCGCGCTGCTCCCCAAAATTCCCGAGTTTGTTGAGCTGATAGTACGCCCGGACCCTGCCATTCTTGCTCCTGCTGCGGGCAAGACACAACCAAGACCGGGTTCCATGTTCGGATGACTCGGATCCAGACTCAGACACTCATTACTATTGCGCCACCGGTTCGAATAAAGTTTTGCTAGGCCAACAGACTGGACGGATACAGGCGCATCATGTCACATTCCGCAGAGCTTGGTGAGGATTGGGGTGAAGCTAAGCTCGACCATAATGCCGTATTAGGCAACGTCCAGACAACTAGCTTTGGCGATCAGTACGCCCAGCGCACATGGCTTACTACCCCGCGCATTTTCCAACACATGCATGCGAGACATTTTTCGCACCATGTCTGCATTGTGCGACTTGACGGCTTGCAGTACCGGTCTTGACAGGCTGTCGTTATACTATCCTACAACACCGCTGCTTGCAGGCACTGCACTACGTACATACATATACGCAATGGCCACAAAGGTTCCTGACGTAAGGGATGCCATCATCGAGGTGCTCCTCTCTTTCAGCCTCAGGGTTCGGTTTCGCTTGGCCTCTTAATCACGAACACATACATGCGGTACCACCAATAAAACGGACATGAACTCATCCTTGGAGAAAGAAGAACAATTGGATAAACCCTGGCTGCCCTCAAAGTCTACCACCACGCCATCTCCCTCGATGGCACGCCTTGGCGCAACACGGCAAGCGGTTTCCGACGCCCCGTGCCGAGTAAAGACAAGTCCTGCTGCAGATAAGGGCAAACTATATTTACGAATGTTGCACACTACCTTCCCACTCCCCCGTCAACCTTGTTTACGTACCGTAAAACCAGGGTTTTGGCTTGGACTGTATACCGCGCGACTATCTGTGTCCGACTTTTATCGGACATGGCGAATTTCCCTTTAGAGTTTTCGCCACCCCCGAAGCAGCCAACTGGGGGGGGGGGAGTACGTCATCAAAAGAAGAGGTCACAGTCATGTATGTATAACGATGTTTATGATGGAGGGAACCTTTCTTTTCTTTTTCTTTCTAATGTATGATGATGAATGTGAGATAGGACATAGGAAGGAAGTTAGGGCTGCATTAGGGGCGTTGTTTGAGTAGCTTAGTCCCTGCATACCTTTTGTTTGTATATCTGTATAATACTTGTTGAAAGCAATTAAGCATAAATGTACATCACACCTCGTCACATTGCACTTATGCCCAACACATCTTGCCTTTTTTCTCTCTCTCTTCGAAGTACCCGCCTCTCGCACATTCCAATACCTCAGATCTCCTCCTCCCATTTGCACTATCCTCTCCAATGCTCCATGCTTTGCGCTATGCCCATCCGGGCTTTCGCCTTCTCCATCGCCTCCCATCACGCCTTTCAGCCCAACCCCTCAATAAACACATCCACACCGTGCACCTTGGCTTCGAACATCACGTCGATAAACCGATACTCGGCATCGCTCGGGCAAACTACACATCTCATGCGCTTCTCTCACTATTGAAAAAAAGAAAACGGTGCAGCCGAGTTCCGCGTGTGCGTGCGTGCACAAGAGAAAGCACATGATCGTTGTGATGGGTACAAATGCAATCAAAATTTCTACACACATAAATACACAAACATGGATTTAAGCTTATTACCCGATACGATAGTTCGATCGGTATGTTCCAGAGTTGGGGGCGTGGTCGATCTTTTGCATCTCTGATCGGTGAGCTGTGTGTGCTTGGACGGTTGGGCTCAGTGGTTAAGGGGAATGTCCTCTTTTGGGCGGCGAGGATATGGCAGGTAGGTTTATTGATATCTTCATAGCGAATAGGGGAGATAGGGGAGGAGGCGGCGGCGGCGGGAATCAAGGGATTGGTGGGATGGGGTTAAGGTATCGTGACGTTGGGTTGCTGGCAATGGGGTAGGGCAATTCTTGGTTGTTCTTGGTAGTGGGTTTATGCATACTTTATCTTTCTTCTAGGCTAACGGAAGCTGCCCGGGAGTTTTCTATGCTGATGGGAAATTTAGGTTTGGGTCCGACGCTGAGGCTACAGTTTTTTGACTTACATAGCTCTATATTTGCTTCCCTTACTTCTTATGTATATGTTGTGTGAAGTTCATTCCGGTGTTCAAATTCAAAGTCGGTTAGCTTGCTTGTAGTATTCTTGACCTGTTTCAGCTTGTTGAACACGTAAGAAGATACTCTTGGATTGAATTTACCAGTGTACCAAACTTCACTGTAAATGAAGACTTGATTCATGGTCATTCGATCGAAATCGAATTTTTCCGCCTTGTTAGTTTTTCTCATCTGGGTCCGTAGCTACATGTTGGGTCTCGCCAGACAGAACCTGTAAAAGGGGCATATCTTGTCGTTTGCGGCTATGCTGCACTGCGAAATGCAGATCAATATATCCAACATCAGGCAACAGGCACAAGTCCAAGACAATCTTGTTTTTCGTCATGATTCATTCCCGCTACTAATCCCAAGATGCCCGTGCAAATTCTTGGAGACGTAAGTATGGAAATCGTCTTGTGGGTGACTAATATTAAGCTTTGGATCGACGTGTGTTATGACGTCTTCTACTATACTTCCATCTATGGCAAGCCCAGGGGTACAACTTACCGGCTGTTTGGAACAATGCTCCAAACTAGTAGCATCCGAGTTATTCATGCCATCCTCTAATAAGCCTCACTATCAAATGACGATATCATAATGAACATACCATACCCTCGCTTGACTAAATTTTGTCTGCTAACTGAAGACTAAGACTTGCGTCCGAATATGAACATAAGAAACACTATGCATAAAAAAACGACACACCAGTCGGCCTAGATCCATTATTTCAACAGCTCCACATACAAGAAGTGCAAAAACCAAGGTCACGTCACCGCGACAAAAAAAAACCGAAGCCCAAGGGGCTCGAACCCTCAACCTTTGGTGGACAGGCAGACAAGGCCGAAAACCAACGCGCTACCATTGCGCCAAGGCTCCAGTAGATAATTTGATGGAAAGTTGTCGACGTTCAAAATTCATATTGGAAGACGTTCTCAAAGTGAGACAACAGGCCTGACGAGTGTGGGGATCAAGGCATGAATTTGCTTGAATGTGGGGCGGAAGCTTGGCCGAGCGCGTCTACATGCGTCTCCACCCGATGGCTTCCTATCGTTATTAGCAAAACCATGGATGCTCTACTATCATCTCAGTTCAGCGGTGCAGGTAAGCCACAGCTTATTGATAGCAAAGGAATGTTCCTCTTAAATATTCGCTATGGACTATGAGCATTGTGAATGAGTCTGTATTTGACAAATAAATCTAACGACAGTATTTCGAAAACACAAGCACATGTGATGATCAAAAGCTATCAAATTTCTATTTCATGCGCCAGACCATGCTATCGCTAATCGACAAGACAATTGCTATACACGCCCAGTGGTCTCCAACTAACACGGCTGTCAGTCTCAATTCCGGGGCTTCCTCCATAGCTCCTCTACATCGAGTTGCCGAGTTGACTTTACGCCGTTGTTTGGCTGCGAAGCAGAGTACTCAATACCGCAAGATCCGCGGTCCAGAGCAAGGGTATTCAAATCCCAATGTAGTTGCTCTTCCGGATCTGTAGCCAAAGTCGTCCGGGTTCGGTTCTGAACTTGAAGCGGTGCAGAATTAGTCATCGAGGTATTGGACGCCATCAGGGATAGAGATAGAGAGTCGAGCTCGTTGGCAAATTCCATCTCCTCTTTACTGGCCTCCATGGCAGAGCAGATATTACTTGGGCGTGTTTTGGCTTTGAGCTCCATCTCGTAGACTCGCTGGTCACGAGAGAAGTCTGCCTCCAACTGCCGATGTTGGGCATACCATTGATCGTACTGCTCCTGTGACATTTGCTCGATTGGTGGGTACAAGGAGTTGTGCTGCGCTTGTCGCTCTTCCCAAATCTTTGATGCTTCTGCTTGGATGCACTCGTGGCAGATGAAGGCAGCCTCTACGGTGTTTCCGTAAGGCTCGACACAGTTTGCACCGCAGTCTTCGACTAAATCTGTGCGGATGCGATGCGAACACAAGAGCTGATGGTAGAGACGGCCTTGACACGGTGCGAGTCGTTTTGACCGTACATTATTGAATGTCGAGGCTGATGAGGAAGGTTGTGTGGAGGTAGCAAAGCGTGAGGTTGCGCCACCGCTCTCTGCACTTGGCGAACTGGTCCACCCCCATCTACACGCCATGACGAGGTTTGCATGAGACATGACATCGTCTGAGACTTTAGAAGCTGGGGAAGACCGAAAGGCGCTACTTGAGAAATCCATAGTGGGGACAGCTAAAGTCCAAGTTTGAGTTGAGGGTTGTCGATATGGCAGTGCGTCAGCTGACGACGCGTGGTTGCCTTGGAAATGTCCAAATAAGCGAGAGAGATCAAGAGCCAGGAGCAATACCTGCTACTGAAAAGACGACAGATGAATGAGTGGTCAAGGGTGTGGTGAGACAATTGACGTAGTAATTCGTATGGTCTCGTGAAAGCGCATCGTGTGTGTGCACAGGGCACTTGCAGTCGTGTACAACCCACGCTAACTACACCTATCGCAAAGGGCTGGTCGGTTGTTATCGCAATAGCTGTTGGGCAGCCAAAAGTGCATGTTACAGTCGAGGCGGGCCGATAGCGATGTTGGAGCGAGAGTGCGAATAGAAGCCTGATGAATGATGCGCTGCTGGGATGGAAGGTTGTGGACGAGTGAGAGGTGATGAGTCGCGACGCGCTGGGCCACACTCGTGATGGCGCTAAGCTTTGCCCGGGCCGATGACGCTATAGAAGCTTCGAGTTTCGCTGTTGAACACCACCCATTCACACTGGGCGAGCTTTGTATGCAACCAGGCCACAACAAAGTATGCGACATGAGTTGCACGAACAGTATCTTACGGAAATCCAGAAGGATAATCTTCACCATCATGCGACTCGTCATCCGGCGCGGACAACGTCAGGAGGTGGCAAAAAAAGTAACAAGAGGATAGAAATCACTTGACGCATATTACTAACTCTATCTCGTGTGCCCCCCTGCTGTCCTTCAAACTGTTGATATCGGTGTTTTAGACCAAGAATCTGAATCCACGCTCTTGCCCGGCACGTGGGACGCTGTTGATTGCGCCCTCAACATGTTCTCCTCGGTCAAGCCTTTTGTTGAGTCGTACGAGAACGATGCGCATAATGCCCGCCATGATAATCGCCAGCACAGCTGTAGCACAATCTACACTCAAGGGTATGGTCAATTTCGGCTGCCCGTTCTTTGGCTGTGGATACATGTAACTAGCATAAATCGAGCTCGAGTTGCTGACGGCGTTGATGAATGCTAGCGCCGCCGCTCTCTTAGCAGGCGGGCGCGGCAACGAGTTGGAAATCCAGGCCAATACAACGACGTAGCCCGTATACACACCCGGTACCATAAGCATCATGGCAACGTATCGAGGTGCTGTTGTGTGAGTAGCAGCTGCCAGTATAAAGGCGAATACGGCGACACAGAGTGGGAGTACGATGTGAAGGAAGCGTTCGCCTGTACGGTCTGCGTGCCAGGCGTTGAGATAAGTCGTAATGACCGCCAGGAGATAAGGCGGGGCTGTAAGTAACAGTGTTTCGGTGTTCGAGTATCCAAGGGTCTTCACCACAGTTGGGAAGAAGTTCGTCACCGATGCCGACGATACAATAGAAAGGAGCATGATTGTGAGGATCCAGGTCTTGATGTCGACCAAAGCAAGTTTGAGGCCCTGAAAGAAAGTCTGCGCCTCTGAAGATACCCAATCTTCTTCGCCTATGTCTTCTTCTAACCGAAAGACAGCAAGCTGACGTTCTTCATCGGTCAGCCACGACGTTGTGAGTGGGAAGTTTGGTAGTATCCAAAACGCCGAAAGGGCCATGCCGACAGTGATACTTCCCTGCAAAGATTAGCATTTTTTAAACACTCTCTTGGTAAAATTACCTCTATGATGAACACCCAGCGCCACGCTCGCAATCCATGGGTCCCATCCATATTTGCTTTGATGCCAGCTGTGATTAGTCCACCGAAGGCGCCTGATATCAGAGACCCAGAGTACAATGCGGCAGTTCTGAACCCAAGCTCCTTCCTTGTATACCATGCGCTGAGATAGAACAAGCAGCCGGGGAAGCTAGAACTCGTCAGAAGCTAATTTAGAGCATATTCAAGCAACACTCACTATGCAGCCTCCACCACTCCCAGGAAAAATCGACATGCAATCAGTCCGCCAAAATTTTGACATGCCGCTGTAGCTCCGGAGATAGTACCCCAAACAACCATGCAAGCCGGGAGGTAGAGTGCAGGTTTTCCAAACTTATTAAGGAATAGGTTAGAGGGGACTTGCATGAGAATATACCCGACAAAAAGGATGGAGATGATGGTCTAGACAAGGTAAGTAAGTATACGTTCCGCAGCTTTGAACACAATCGAATGGTACAGCCATACCTCATACTGCACACTGGAGAGGTTTAATTCATCTTGGAGACCAGCCAGACGTACAGCAGCGATGTTGTTTCTATCAAGGTAGTCTGGTAGGATTAGTCTCCATCTTGGCCATCACATCACCCTGCGACTTAGTATCAACTCAACTTACTCATGATGTACATCAAAATAACCATGGGCATCAGCCTTGTATCGATTTTCCTTCGCAACCGCTTTTCGGCTAGATCTCGCTCCTCGGGAGTCATAGCAGCCACCAGCGGTGGCGGCTGCAATTTTTGTCTTGAATCATCCTTAATAGAACCTGCTTCAAGTATTACAGGCTCAAGTAGGTCCTCTGCCATTTGCGTTGCAGAGACATCCTTATCATGCTCCGGGGCTGCAACCGTTTTTGTCATGTCTGATCAAACAGCAGGGGTATTCTCCAGCTGTGCTTCTTTGTGTAGGCAAAGTAGAGGTGTGACACCCACCAATTTGTAGGGAAAATGGTGGCTGAACAAGCAAAGAGCGGAAGACAAGATATAACAAGCAATCTTGTGCGGCCTCAAGCTTACTTATACGGAGCTTACTTGGACGGCGGAGCATTAATGGCGGGGATAGCTGCACCCCATATGCAATCTCATCTGCCCGCACCGGGGTAATCGTAATCGCCCGCGCCTATCGTGTCACGATGAGCCTTTGCCGGCAGGCATGCAGGAATGACGGGCCGCCGCTGAAATTATCGACCCAACAGCGTCCAGCGCAGACAATGATTGGTGCAACAACCATAACGATGCAACAGTATCATGTGCCATGAGCAAAAGGTGCACAACACGGGTTAGTATTATAGTTTATTAACCGGATGGGGACCTGCTCCGTGGGCAACCGTTTTCCGACTACTCCTAAGCCTAGTTTTGTAGCAATCCAGGCTCTGTCCAAAAAAAAGAAACAGGGGTAGTGACATGCTGTTACACGTAACAAGAAGGCAGGGAGCCTATGGATATCCGCATCAGAAGGTAATGATCATTGCGGGGTTGGGTCACGTGATGTACCATCCCGTCAAGAGCGACTATCCGAGGGATGGCAGGATGCCTTAGAATAGCAACTATCACTAACATTACAACTATCCTAGGGATAGTAGGAAAGTAAAGGACAGTAGGATTAGAAGTAATAAGGATATAAGGATAGATAGATTTTTTTTATTATTCTCGCTAGTTATTGTTAACTTAAATTGTACTTTCTATAACGGTTCGAGCCCTATCAGACTGCGCAGCCAGCTACAAGCCGCCCACCGCGCCAAAAAGGCTAGCACAAGATATCAGAGCTGCTTATATCGTTGTATAGTTGATACATAAGATAGCTACCGCTATCTGTATTGTGATGGGCTATCTAGCCCGTCACACTATCTTACCAGTTGCTTTACTTAATAAGATTACGTATTACCTGTTAGTCTACAGCAATATGTATTAATAGTTATTAAACCTATTGCCTTTTCTATTAAGCACTCTACTCTACTGTCTCGCTAGACAACTTTTACGGAATACTAGCATAAAGCTCACTGGCCTTAGTGTGGACCCGGCAAGAGAAGTATAGATCCAAACCCGTGTAACACATGTCGAAAACCAATTTAGATCAAGTATTTTTAATAAGCATCTTTAATTATGATTTATGTAAACTCCTATCTAGTATACTTTTAGTATGTATGTATCTTGACATGGAACGACAGGAAATCAAAAATTGTTTTCAGAAAAAATATCAAGAGAACAACGTTAAAGAAATCTAATTAAACGATCAACTGTACCTATTAACTCTAACTCTGTTTACAACTCTCACTCTAGCTCTCACTTTAACTTTGACTCCGACTCTCACTCTAACCCTATTTGTCTCTTTATACTTATGCGTCGAAACTCAAAGTTGTTGAAACAAAGAGAGCCTTTAATCTCTCCAGGCGCTCATAGCAATCCACAAAGCTCTTCTGGTATCCAGATTATGCTTGCGACAATAGTTGAGAGCGACTAAGTGCCTTTTTAACAGCTGATGGTATGGCCGTTGATAGAACAGCCTTCCGCACCCCACTTTGAACTCATTAGTATCTGAGCTCGAAACTAAGACTTGCAGCAACTTACATTGATCCATCCACCGTCACCCTCGTTAGTAACGGAGCCTGAATAAATCTCGAAACAAGCGTAGCTTTTTGAGGCAGCATTAGTATAACTAGTTTACAGCTGGAGGAAGAGATTAAGGAGCTTACGTGGTGTGGTAAATATCCCATGAGAATTTCTCAGTAGCGGGTCCTTCAAACACAGCACCAGGACTAGTAGAGTAGGGTCCATTCATGCAAATAACACCCTTTGTGCCTGATACTCGGTTGTTGTAAAGATCAGGAATATGATCCTGCATAAAGGCTGTGCGAGCCTAAAGCGGTTTCTTAGCACATGGTATAAATTCAAGTTTGTGGCATTAGCTTACCTCGTCGAAATTTTTCCAGTCGTCCGCGGAGGGTGCGAGGGCGTCTTTGGCGCGCTCGATGGCCGCACTCATTACACCAGCAAAGAGCTTGCCTCCAATGACTTGGAGCAAGGCTATAGCGGGAATAATCCGTTTCTCGAGCATGACTGGGGCCTGTTTACTGCTTAGCTTTTCCAATCGATACTGAATTTCTAGCGAAAGAACTGTAGATTGACTCACCTCAACATCGGTTTGGGTCGCCTCAACATTGGCTAAGCTACCAGCATCTTGAGTAATGGCAGGAAGAGCCACTGCTGAACCCGCCAGAACGGCCAGGGTGAGGTTGCGGATCAAAGAGAATTGCATGATAGCGATGAAAGTACTTGCACTGAAGTAGGATTGAGAAGGCTGAAGTGGTTCTTGCGATTGTTGATGTTGTAGATACTGTGCGAAGTGATGAGCAAATGGGTGGCTGCGACCGCCATAATTATACTGTTCGCAGATTGCTTGACCACGAGCACGTCCATTGCTAGCAACTGGGTTCAAAGTGTTCTAAGGGAACATCCCGTCGCCGTGATAATACTGTGAAGCCTTTGCAGATTCCATCATTGTACTACTCACGTCTAGCCCTCCCTCTCTGGGACGTGCCGTCGCTCCAATACTAGCGTACACGGGCATGTTCCGTTAGCTCAGTAAATTAGCCAATTAGACCTAGAGTGAAACAACGCTTACTAGTGCAATACTAACGATTTTTGTAGCTGTACTGGGGTAATGCTAGAGTTACTAAGACTAAGTAAAGGCCTATTTCGTGAACAAGGATATCTACATCGGTATTTACTATGACATCTCTCAAATCCTCATGTCTTCTTTTGATACAATCTAATCAAGCTAACGGAACATACCTATGTACACCACTAGTTTTTACGGACTCCGTAATTGTATCACTCACATTCAGACCTCCCTCTGGCCTACATCGTTCCTCAGATGGGTTTCTCGATCAGCTGAGCATGCATAGCCAAAAGCCGTATCGCCTGATCGAGAGACTGATTACTTAATGAATCATAATATTACATTCGGTGAATCGAAAACCCATTCTAAGTCATGATATCGTTACGTCAACCGCAACGATCTCGATTCCACGAAAAGAATCGGAGGGGGCGAGCAAGTGATTTGCTCTAAGATAAGGTACTATCGCCCCAGTATGTGCTAAGGGAAATAGTCACCCTCTTCTTATAGGCAAAAGCGGTCGTGGATCGGCAGCACCAACAGTGCAATCGCATCAGCGAATTCGAACTCTTCGAAGCAATCGTTTGATGCTTTCGTCTTTTAGCCTTTATCAAGTCAATGATCCCGCAATGCAAGAAGACGTAGCACATATTTTCTGCGCACCTGATACCCTTATGATGTTGGAATTAATGTTAACGAGAGTCTTCCCTTACATGCCAGGGCAACTAGCGCATGAGGGACACGTTTGCTGACCCGGCCGCCTTTTCTCTATTCGTTGTCGGAGCTTCGAAGAGAGTCAGTTCACTGAGAGGAATAGCGCTATGCAGCATCTCGTCCACGAAATTCGAGATCCCTTGGCCTTGCCGAAGCACTGCTGCGCAGGGATCATATAGACTCGAAATTGACATTCAAGCGCCGAACCGATACAGTCCAACTCGTGCTAGCATCACACGTGGTACCTTTGGAATAAGCAGCGTATTAGGAGCGCGGCATGCTTTAGTCAGCTAAACCCAGTGCGATACTTACCACCTTCACTCAAGCTTCTAACTTCCACAACCCTGTGCCGCTTTATGTCGTTAGATCTCGACTAGTAAGATGTCAAAGTAGTCAGTGAGGTCACAGAGTGGTCTAAGCAACCCAATCACCAGTGTCACAATCCACGCCAAGCACAATAAGTGTGCGTTACGGGTTCTTGGCGGAGGCGGTAAAACCATCAACGATGTGCCCCCAACTAATATGAGGCGCAGGTTGGAGTCCAAGCACTGCTAGCTAGGCTGTTAAGATGTTCCTACTTCACATGTGACATCAGGCGCGCCTATACTAGCGCGCGCTCTTTGCCTCCTGCTGCTCCTGCGTAGAACGGATTTTTTTGAACTGTTTCTCTAGCTACTCTAGCTAGACCAGCGCAAGACTGACTTCTGGGTCCATTTTCTGGCTGGTTCCCAAACTTATGTCTTGGCTGTTGTTTGGCTAGTTTTCTAGCTGATCTTGGCTAAATTCTTGGCTCTTTTTTAAGCCTGTTTTCTAGCTTGTTTTCTAGATCGCATTCTAGCTCGCATTCTAGCTTGTTTTCTAATTAACCAGGCCCGCGGAGATTCTAGTGTCTATTACGGAGGAAACCTTAAAAAGTTCTTGGTAACAGGAATTCTTGAATACTACCGAAATCCTACCGAAATACGACCTATCTACGTATAGAAATCTTGGGGAGCTTATTATCCGATTACGCGGTGCTGATTAACCGAAAGTTTGGATATCCCGGATAGCGGGACGAGATGACGGGCACAGCAAGGTAGTGTGTCCGATACTCCGTGGCCACTCACCAGATCTCGCCTCTTTGGGCCATTGTACACAATTGGTTGTATGATTTTCTTTGGCTTAGCCTCTGAACCGGGACGAAGTTCGAGATTTCCCTTAAAATGTGCAGTACACGGCAAGATTGACACGAAGCTTTAGATTCTAAACTCACACCCAATCAAGATTCTAGTATTGCAGTGGTTGCTCTTCTTGTCCACGTCATGCCATGTTTGCTCATGATTCCATCACTATTGATTTGTCTCGCTCAACTCATTTGCAGGAGCGTAACGTCTCACCCTTCTATAGTTCTGCAGTTCATCCGTAGTCGCAGCAGTCTCACATGTCTGCTTATCACCCGTGTTCAAGCAGTTGGCATCTCCTTCTTTCGCACACTCTTCTTTCGGTATATCGTATAGGTAGGTCTGATATGCCTCACGACACTGTGGACAGAGAAATGTCGGCTCCCTCCGGGAATTCATGTTGATCGCTCTACAGTTTGAAGGAGGTAGCTTGGACGATGTGCACAAAGATGAGCCCGTGAACTGGCGTTTACGCACAGGAATGAATTCGCTTTTCGATGCAATTAGGAGACATATTGAAGTTTTATGTCGAGGTTGAAGAGTCGAATTCAGTGGGAAGACTCAGCTGCCGAATTTTGCAACTAGGTGCTACACGGATGATTGGGTATTTGCAACCTATGTATTATTACATTTACACAAATCGTGAAGACTATGCTGGTACCAATTGACATAAAGAAAACAGTAAGGGTTGAACTTTTGATGATCTCGATTTTAGAACTGTTTCCTAGTTTTACATTGGTGGCGGATTTAGGTCAAGACCCTCGACATTGAGTTTGAAGCTATCCATGCGCGAATAGCTTCCCGCAGAGTCAAAGTCAAGTCTTCCTCGCTCACAATCTTCAAAATCAACTTCTGTGACAAGGAGCTCATCTTCATTTTCCCAAAGCGGTCCGGCTAACACCTCACCAAGAGGCGATACAATCATTGAGCCACCGCGAGAGACAAACTCTTCACCGTCTGCGGACCATGACCGAGGTTGCGAGAAGGGCTGTAGTTTGATGCTAGAGGTTTCTTCTATGGAATCGATAGCTGACGAGTCACCGTTAGTCGTTGCATCTTGTCCCTTGGGCAATGGCAAGCAGATCTCATGGCCGTCTTCTGTTCTCGTGATGGTGCTTCGCCGGCGCGCGGCACCGCCACTCTGTTGCAATATCGTTCTGCCAACGCCGCTGCTGCTTGCGATGCTTGGCGAGCGAGCTGTTTCATTCTTTGTTCCGCCTGTTATCCATTCAGGAAGATGCTTCTTCTTGACGCACTGATTTGCGCTGAGAACAAAACAACGCCCCTCGCACCCAACCGTCCGCATCAGCGCAGCCCAAGTATCGCGTGCGTCTGCTGTCGGCGCAAACCAAAGATTGACGTTCTGGCTGTACAGACTCTGTCTTAGCAATGGCATGTAGTTTTCCCAGCAAATCGCCGAACCCATGCACAGCTTCACGCCCTTGATCTCAGTCGTTACTGCCCTTAGCGTACTCGCACTACCCATCCCCCATACCAAGCGTTCACTGCCTGTCGGCATCACCTTCCGCCTCTTACCCAAAACACCTATTTTCGGATCCACAAATACAGATCCACAGTACAGTGTTCCTCCAGACTTCTCCACCAGGCCTGTCACGATAAATACACCCGTCTCCTTTGCAATCCTTTCCAGCTCTTCTCTGGTGCCATCACCTCTGTACTCTTTTCCTTTCGGTAATTCGAGCTTTCGGTCAATCCAATCTTCGCCTGCACCACTTGGAGTGTCTCCTAGATCGACAGCATCGTGAAAGTAGTGCAGGAATTGCTCGCGACCTTCGGGCGCGCGGGCGCCGACTGCAGCACCGAAAGAGCAAGTGCGGGGATATCCGCCCAAGTACGCCTCCGGGAACAGGAGTATGTCTATTCCCTGAGATGCAGCCCTCTTGGTGGTCGTTTCAAGGGCTGAGAGGGTTTGAGCTGTTGTAGAGAGGGTGCGAGATTGCGCGGCTGCAATCTTGAGAATCTGCGGCATCGTGTCAAGATTGGAGCGAAGCGAAAGTATGATTAAAAGTGGCCTGACGATGTGGTTAGATCTGAGACGATACGAGCCGAAGGATCATTTATATACGAGAAGGAACCTGTGACACATAATGGTATGATCGAAAAAAAAGATTTTAGTTTGTACGCCTACCCCGCTGTCGTAGTAGTACTAGTACTACCATTCATTACCCCGCGCCTCGGACATCAACAGTACCAGGCCACGGCATCTTGACCAACGTCGTACGCACTGGCTGGACTGAAGCTAGTCAAGTCGGGCATTGCTGTTTGTTACCGTATGAACTCAAATCCCAGATATACAAAAATGCACAGAAAGGTAAGAACTAAGCAGGGATACAGTGGAGCTACTCGGCCAGCGGACTTCAACTCCACTACGACGTCACAGCATGGATGGGATAGCACTAGCCGGAGAATTTCTTACTTTCAACGACCATTGCACATGTGACGTATCCGCGATATCTCAATAACATTCAAACCAACAACGCACCTGGTCCAAACATAAAGATTCAAATTAATCCGGAGCACAAAACACGCGCCATGGCATCCGGCACTGACCTCGCGATTCATCTCCAAAACCTTATACCAGATACGCACGCCCAGCTCCGCGACTCTGTCCTACCATCCCTCTTGAAGTCAGTGCACACCATAGCAGGCCATCTGCGCACTTCGCCCAGTGTAACCCAAGTCGGCACCGCTAATGCATTCGGCGACGATCAACTCAACGTCGACGTACTCGCCGAGGACGCCATCCGCCAAACAATCAAAGACTGCCCTAGCATAGTCACCGCCAGCAGCGAGGAAGACCCAATCGAGAAGTCATCCTCAGAAAATAGCAGTACTAGTTCAGAAACCACCGAGCAATACACACTAGCCTTCGACCCTCTCGACGGCTCCTCCATCATCGCCCCAAACTGGAGCGTAGGCACCATCCTAGGCATCTGGACTGGACCCTCAGCCCTGCAATCCAACCCATCCACCCACCAAATCGCTTCAATCCTCGGTGTCTTGGGTCCCCGTACCACAGCCATCATCGCCCTCCGCCTCCCCAACACCGCGCCCACCTGCTTTGAAGTCGGATACTCGGCCTCAGGCTCCATCCAAGTCATCCGGCCAACCGTACAGTTGGCCTCCCCTTCAGAGACGAAGACCCGGTACTTCGCCCCCGCCAACTTGCGCGCCGCGGCTGATGACGAGAAATACATGAGTCTGATCACGCATTTCATCCAGCGGAAATACACACTCCGCTACAGTGGCGGTCTCGTCCCGGACATCGTACACGCACTCGTCAAGGGCCACGGCATCTACATCTCCCCCGTAACACCACAAAGCAAAGCTAAACTCCGCCGCCTCTACGAACTCGCTCCCATCGCCCTCATCATCGAGTGCGCCGGCGGCGCAGCTCTAGATTCCGCAACCGGCGAGCGCGTGCTGGCTGTTGCAGTAACAGATACGGATGAGCGAGGGGGTCTGGTATGTGGGAATCTGGAGGACGTGGAGGAGGTACGCAAAGCACTATTACATTGAACGACCACATGTCTGCATATCTGCCGTACTGAGTCTCAACCAATCCCGCGCTTAGCTAGCTAGAATACATTTTTATACCTTGGAAAACTATCGATTGACGCACGATCATCCTTCCCCTTTTCCTATCCCCCCACAGACTACCCAACGTAGATCAACCCTTCCTACCACTACTAGCACGTATACCCACGTGTGCCCGCCCACACACACACAGACATACCTCGGCGCGCCTTTTCCCCATCAAATAAACCCACGTGGAGTTTTTTTTCTTTTTCGGCCCTTTTTTGTCCCCGCAACTAACTCTACTTACGAGAACACACGGACGAAAAGTTTATTCCCCCCTCCCCGCATTATTAGTGAGAGGGGATCTGCGGTTTGTTGTAATTTGAAACTAGAGAGTTTCTTGGGTTTGGGCACGTTTTTTGGGGACTTAAGGGGGGATGGGGTGACAGGTGACAAGTGACAAGTGACAGTGCCGTCGCGCGAGAGGCGGTAGGTAGGTAAGTAAGTAAGTTAAGGGCATTATCTGTGCGGAGGAGGAGGGGCTTTGACTGCGAGTGTGTGTGTGTGTGTGTGTGGGTTGTATTTTGATTTTTTTGATTTTCTTTCTTTCTTGGTGGGAAGGGTTGGAGAAGGGAGGTCGTGTTTTCACAAAAATATTGTTGATTTGTAGATTTTATTTGACTTTTTCTTCTTATGTGATTCTGGTCTTAATACGATTTGAGACCTGTAGCCAGAATGATGTATTATCGGTGGTTTACATATCCACCTTTTCCGTATGATAAGCTCAAAAGACCACCCAAGAACATACCTTTCCATGCAATCGTCCCCATCTTCTATAAATCCAAGTATTAAAAGGTCCCCCGGGAGCCCCCTGTGTAAAAATTCGAAAAAATTCGTCAAATTTGATAAGTCATACGCCGTGTGTGTGTGAAAGAGAGAGGAAAATGCAAATGATATCAGGCTCGAAAAATAAAGCGTGTTGTACAAAACAAGGAAGATCCGTATACAAAGTGTATAAGTGTAGCTTTTTTCAAATTCAAATAGCGCGGCCGGCTTCGATATCGCCTTCGCGAGAACGGATTCCAGGATTTCCCATGCTGCCTGGTCGGAAAGCGGCACAGACATTCCTGCAGCTCTCTGCCCATTCTATTCTATCTCGCCACACCTGGTGGGATGGTGGTAGCTCAGTCAATGCTTTTGTGCTCTCGAAACTCTTATAGCTGCTGTCGTCTCGCTCCTCGATACTGATCTGAAGTTTGTGATTGACGTGGATGCCGTCTAGTGGGATCTCCTCACTAGAGGTAGCGTCACCGCCACGGATTTGAGATTTGTGTGATGAAAACTGAGATTGTTTTGATACAAACGCATTCGATGCCAGTTTCGATGCTACTTCGGGCGGATTTCCGCGGCTGAGGTTTCCAGTGTATCCGTCGCGTGAAGTGTACTGTGTAAGATAGCGGTTGAAGAAGACCTTGAGGGAAGGGGCTGAGGCGCAAATGACGGCTAGCTGTGCTTCGAGGTTTGTCCAGATCCAGCCGTAGTAGGCGATCCAGGTGATGTCATAGGTGACTGCGTTGCAAGCGTTAGGTTTCTGAACCACCCAGTCAGGTTACCAAGGAGCTTACAATAATATAGTTTTGTGGCGTAGTATGTACGCATCAGGCCACAAAAGCACGTAATCAGTCCCATTCCGAAGATGCCACACAGTGCAAGCTTCTGACGCTTGCTAATCTGCAGGTTCCAAATCAAGAGGACAGGAAGCAGGCAGATGATGAAGTCCTGAACAGAGCTTATCGCTGCGCAAGCCACAATTATCGCCCCCTCATCACGACACACCAACTTGTTTTGAATTCTCCACGCTATGTCGAAGTAACGCCAGAACCCCTCAATCGGTGTGCAGGTAAAGAGGATGACAAAGGTGAATACAACGCCGTAGATGACGCAGAATGCAATAGTGGCATATACCCCTGTTCCACGTGAAAAATTCAGAACGTGTTCTCATCATGAAATACAGTGACTGCTACTCACAGTAGACAAACTGGTGCGTGAGACGTCCAGTGATGCGGCGATAGAAGCATAAAATCGAGACTTTGATCAGTGATGTGGAGATCATGTAGAGAAGTTCAATAGCTAGAGCAATCTAAAAGGTCAGCAAGTACAAAAACGGAAATCCAAGGCACACCGACATACCTCTCGTGAAGTGACCAGAGTCTCGGTTGTTTGATCCCAGCTATGCCACTGATAGCCATAGATTCGGATGCCTTTCCTCGTCAGCCGATATCATGACACGTGAACGCGAGCCTTACCAAGTACAGTTGCTATCGTCAATCCAAACAGGGGTATCATAGAGAGGCTGATGAGGATATCGTCCAGTCCAGTGTTCTTCGATATAGCGATTCGGGCCCACATGCGCGCAACGTAGACGAGGAACGTCACCCCCAGAAACATCAAGAGCACAATCGGTGCTGCCCATCCTCTTTCCTCGGGGTCGACGTAGTTCGGTTTCGGCCAGTTCAACAGGACCTCTGGTGGAGGGTGAAGTCCTCCACCACGAGCGACAAGGCCACCAGCATGGGAACTTTGGCTGTAGACGTCCATGCTAAGATATGCGGGCTTAGATGTCGGACTTGCAGGCGGGAGGAACGAAAGGGAAGTCAAGCGTCGTTCAAAGCCGCAGACAGTGAAGGCGGGAATGAGCATGTAGTAGTATACGGGCAGTCAGACCATGCCCAGTGTGGCCAATGACTCTCTAGCGTTATGTGGGGTTCACATCTACCGCGCGCGCTAGTCCAAACCCAAGTGGATTGATCAACGGCATGTCGCGACACATTCCCTGTTCACTCGGAAACTGATCCACGTGTTGTAGGCATGCAGAGTGTCTGGCCGATTGTTTCCGTGAATAGTTTAGTTTCGGGAGGGGATGATGGCAATTCCGGTGACCATCCATGGTTCTTGAAACCGAAATACTTACTGTAATTGTTTGTAGAGGGGTAAAAAAAGTTAATACCGCGTCTACATATGGATGGCCTGAAGATGCGGATGAAAATTGCGAGAGCTAACGTGGGCGGATGCACAGGATCCACTTTGCCATACTTACATACCTTGCTCTTAACGCCGACTGTATTCAAACGTTCTTTCGTGGGCCTGAATGGGTTCATCGAGCAACCACACGTGGCATGCGAAACATGATGGCGTGTTGGCGTCGCCAGGCTGCAGATAGTACAGGGTCCAAAACACCCCAATGCGGCATATAATCAGGCAACATGCCTTCGGTTCTGACCACCTTTAGTAGGCTTGCCGACTTTGCAAAATCTAGCACCAAAAGGGCTAGCATGCTGTCGTGCTTTCACTATGCATGCTTGTCGATCTACAGCGGCTCATTGTCGAGCCATCATTTTAGGAATTGGTCATTGCAGTTCTTGGAACGGACTTTACTCTCAGGGCAAGCAGTGGCGTCTGTGCCTGAGCCCATATGATTCAGCAGTGTATCCATTCCGAATAGCCTGTGGTGTTATAGTCGATGGTTTTTTGGTGGTTCAAGATACGGCTTCAATGTCACCCTGAGGATCCATACATGTTGTAACCGAGCCGTGGGTACAGGACGCTTGTTCAGGGATATAGCTGACAGCACGTGACTGGACTGACAGACACGGCCGATGGGACAAAGTTAATCGCTGTACTGTAGATACACCTGTGTATACACATCCTCGTATTCTCTCGTGCCTACTCTACTATGGTGAGTGGGTGTGGTGGTTGCCGAAGCGGCATACTACGCGAGTAGTAAGTAGGCTTCTGAACAGGGCCTACGTAGGCGAACAGAAACCTCGACGTCCATGTTTCGCTTTAAGGCGGGTCCACAAAAGGGTCGTGCCCGAGCCGCTAGTAGTCAACATCATCGCGCAGGATTTGTCGGCAGCGCGCTGATAACTTGCTGAATAGAGTTACTGCTGGTGGTCGGCAGGTCCCTGTCAAACCTTAATCCATCGCTACCAACCACAGACGGCTGATGAGACTCTCGTCACGAGACATCCCGCTCAACTTCGGCGACGGACAACAGTGCTTGGAAGCAATGGAGAATTGTCGTTTGCAGATCTCGCGAAAAGGGTGGCGTGCATGGTGTTGATGTCCCTGCCCAGGAAGAATCAACCCGAGCGCTTGACTAGGTTCTGTCACGATCGCGATCCTGCTGCGCACTGATTCTTCAACGCTACTAACCCCCTCCCTCCTGAATACTTGTTGTGATATACCGATCCTCTACGGTTCGGCGAAGAGTTCGCTTGGCCTCATGTCCGTTCTGGGTCTTAACAAAGGATGTTAATGAGCATGGTGTTGGGCATGACGCCAGCGCTCTGATCAGGAGAGTGCGGCTCAATGCCAAGAGTTCCGAGGATGTTCCGCATTGTTCCACCCGCCATCTCATTCTCCCCCAGTGTCCGGACAATGTGCCACCAATGGCTTCCTGGTACAGGGACGGACTCAATGCCCGTATTGATCTTCACCGGTTTGATCTGATCGATGACTTCAGCCGCAGGGCGGGTGGCTGACATTGATGGCTCGGTCCCCACCGCGCCTGTCCATTTTCTTGACATTGATGTGTACTTGTCGCCCTGTGTTTGCATATGGTGATCTTCATCTTTGGCGGATCTGCCCGAGTAACGACGTTTGTACTTCTCTCCCCTTGAGGGCTTAGAGTAGACTGAAAGCTTCCATTGCCCTGCGTACCGCCTCTGTGGCCGCGCTTTCAGGAGGAAGGTTGACCCATGTCTCAACAGATTGGCTAGGATTTCCATCCATGGCGCCACCGACTGCTTGGTTGACATCAGCCCTTTTTTTCCTTTCTGCAGGAGGATTGCCGGTAGCAGAATCACGGAAATTCAACGTTCGAGGTGTTTGGTCCGAGCTGTTCTGCTTTGCTTTTTTTGCCGTTGCCGTGCCTGGACGTTTGCGAGGCGTCACCGGCTCCTCTTTATTACGCTCTTCTTCTACGCCGCCGAAACCATCCTGTCGCATAAACTCGTCAAAGAATTGGAGGCGCGGTTCGTCAAACTTGGCGACGGCCTTACAGGCGCGATAGCCTCTTCGGAGCATGGCTGCGATATATTGTTCGGCAACACGGCGCACCTCCGACTCCTGACTCGATCCGGCACCCTCCACCGCCTCGTTCTGATTCAGCTTCAAAGTAAGCCCTTCGAGAGCTACTTCGGCGCGCACCACGTCGATGAGGCATGTTGGACAGACAAAGGGATAGCCCTGTACAGGACGTGCGCAGAGCCCGCCACAGCTTGCAGTATACTCAGTCTGGATCCTGTGCCCACACTGAAGATCGTGGAATGTTGATGAAGAGTTGCATGGACTATACATGTCCTGGAATTGTTGGTGGTCCTGTTGTTCCCAAGCTTGATGTTGTTGCTTCTCGGCTGCAGCGAGTCTCGCATGGAACGCCTCAATGGTAGCGCGAGCGCTGGCTGTTGTAGCTTGCATTGTTGACATTTACGAAGCTCGAGTGTTGCGATTTTGGGTAAGATTGGAAGACGAGCGCGAGCTGGTTTTGAACATGAAAATCGGATGCGGGGCCATCGACTACTACTGTATCGTCGACGCCCGGCAACCCCATCCTCGCTAGCATCACCGCGTAAGTATTACCATCTGCACATCATTATGCCACATCGGCCCGTCAGCCCCACGGTGTTTACAAGCCCAGCCTGACTGGAGTTTCGCAATGCCTGTGTGGCTGTAACATCTTTTTTTGGGTCAGGCAAATGGCAAGGCTGTACACACCTCGGTAAGCCATTGCTGGGCCAACCATATGCAGGTATGAGTGTACGTGTATACAGAGACCAACCTCCAGAGAACGTCTACAACATCGCATGTAATACCAGTATGTCTTCACAAGGAACTACCGAATACCTGCAAGACCTCTCTTTTTGAGTAATGATTAAACGTATATCGAATATGCTAAAATGAACGCAAGAATATAAGGTAGCGTATGGTATGCTATTCTAGAAAAGCCCACTTGACACCTAATATACCTCCCAGATCGACGCCGTTAAGTCCAAGCAAGAAGCCGCCCGTCATTACCAACACGATACATGCTGAAAATCAAGAAAGGGGTCGTGCATTACATTGCTCCATTGGAGTAATGCAGTATACGCAGTATGTCAGTTCACAGATTGTGTGACATCAAGTTTGGCATAGAAGGCCGTGGAATGGGAGGCCGTGTAGGCTGCCCGCGCTGTTCGAGATGACTAAGCCTGGATTGCAATGATTCTAGCTTTCTTCGTACCACCTCCACTTCCGAGACTGCTTCTGTGCTGGGATGTTGAGGTCTCGGTGATGGCAAGGACAAGGGTGACACTGTGGTAGATAGTCCAGGTTGGGGTTGCGTGGTCGCATCTTTGGAGCGAGGAGAACATGATGCAAGTTGTTCTTCCGAAGCATTAACCTCTGTTGGAAACCCGAGTTGTGTGTGTTGTGCAGGGGACGGCATTTTCGCTTGGTTCGACCTCAAATTTGGGTGAGAGCGCGGTTGTGAGCATACTCGTTCCCTCCTGATCCCTCTGTGCTCAAGAGTATCTGATGGCGCGCCAGTCGATACCTTGACCTCCTTGCTTCCAAGCTCCAAAACAGGGCTTCTTGTGTTGTCCTTTTGTGTGGTTGCTGTCACTGGTGGTGGTGACCCCTGTGCTGATGATGCAAGATTTTGCCTCAGCCGGTCAAGTGTTTGAACGAGAATGGCACAGTTCTTGCATGCAGACAAGTCGGTAGACTTGGGATTTGTTCGTGGCAATGAAGACATGCTAGGGGCATCACCCATATATATATGCTGCATTCCCGGATGGTTATCGCCACAAACGGGCTGTACTTTCCCCATGGTTGTTGTAAGCGATGGCGTTGCTGGTTTTGAACTGCGCTTCTTCCGCCACTGCTCAATCTTTTCCTCTGTAGTCATGGAGCGTCCAAAGTTTGATAAGAGTGATGGTCCTGCCCGAGGCTCAAGTTCCACATTCTTGTGTTTGAGGTCAGCTGGTAAGGTTGCAGATCGTGTAAGCGGTCTTTGTACAAGTTGCGTCATTTCCTTTGGGATTCCTGGCGCGCGTAAGAGTGGCGCTTCTACATCTTTGCTTTTCCCCTGTGAGATTGCTACTGTTGGAGCTAGTGAACTTTTCACCTTTGACTTGCCCTGTCTGATGATTTCGAACATCGCTTCGCCCTTGGGAGCAGTGGTCAGATTCTCATAGCCTCTGGCAGTTATCAGAATATCATCTTCGATGCGAACTCCGCCCACAGGTAAGTAACGTTTCAGTGCTTCAGTGTTGATAAATTTTGAATGGACCGGCGACGGGAGATAGAAGTGTTGCAAAGCATAGGCCGAGAAGTAGATACCAGGCTCGACAGTCACCACCATGCCTTCCTCAAGATGGCTGCTCTGAGGATTTGCTGGCGCATGACATGTCTCAGAATTGTATACTGGGCTGTGAAAATTTTCTGGGTAGAGAGAAGGTGCCTATGGAAGATTAGCGGTGTCGACGCACATCGCACGTTTCGAACTAACCTGTTGAGTGACAAGCTTGCCTCTTCGGATGCTCATCAGATCTGCTTGGCTCGGGTCGTGGACTTCTAAGCCGACGTGATGCCCCAAGCCGTGAGGAAAGAAGGCTCTGCTTGTACCTGCTTTGTAGATTTCTTCTTTTGTTCCATTATGCAGGATTCCGAGCTGCAGAAGGCCATCAATCGCAATTTGATGCGCCAGAATGTGCAGGTCTAGATACCTAACACCAGGACCTAATCTCTCGATGCAAGTGTCCTGCATGCGTTGAACCAGCTTGTAGACGTTTTTGGCTTCTTTGCTAGGCCAAGAAGCAGATAGCGGGAAAGAACGCGTAATGTCGCTAGCATACAACTCGTACTCACAGCCAGCATCTAAACACATGAGTTGCCGACCGGCAAAGCTCTCATTGTTTGCATCATAATGCAGAGTACCTGCATTCGGTCCGGATGCGGCAATGGGGGCATAGGCTTGCTGTTTGGCCTGACGTGATATACACACATCCATGAAGAGGCCTTCGACTTGGGCTTCGTTGTTAAAGCTGAGGATGTTCTCAAGCACCTCTCGATGCGCCTGTGAGCTGATGTCATTCGCTTTCCGGATGAGGCTGATTTCATGGCTATCCTTGATCATGCGACACATGTTCATGGCTGGTTGAAGAGAATGAAAGTCTGTGCGAGGGACAAGATTATCGCAGCCTGGTACCCGCGAAGATGGATGCAAGACGTAAACGCCGGCGTGGCGATTGACATGGGCCCACTCCTGGATGACATACTGCAACTCATCCGTGTAGAACACTTGGTCAATGTCATACTTGGTGAGCGCCTCTGCTCGAGTGGAGCCACGGCCATTCCAGATGACGCGCGCAGGATTGATGCGCGGAATGAATAAAGTTAGGACATCGCGCTGGACGTCGTAAGCCATGTGGCAGTCAGGTTCATTACATCTTGCCACTATCAGCACATGAATGAAGCAGTCAGTGACTTGGGCGCAACGCACCCGCTCAAGTAGTAAAAGTATCGTCGCTGGCGAAAGGGAGCTGGCATGTCGCTATCTTCGTTGTTCCTCGCCGGCTGGCCTGGAAGGTAGATCAACCCATCCTCGATGCCCATCTTTTCTTGCACGCGCCGCGCATGCTGCTTGGCTGGACAATGTTAGCATGATGCGCAACAGGTCGAGAGGCTTCCGTGTTTACCTGGGTACTTGTCGAACGGCGTCTCGGCCTCGAGGTGCAGCCAGTAGTCTTGGTCCTCCCACCTGAGGCGTTCGGCAAGACTGGTCGCGTCGAGAACTTGCATGGTTGCACCTTTTTCCGACCTGCAGAAACACTGCGAATGCAAAACTTGTCGCATCGGCGGAGGCGCGGTCGCTCTATTAGTGCTGTGTGAGCTGCTCACCGGTGAAGCCCCCGAAACCGTGCAGGCGCCAAGATCCGGTCAAGTAATCCGTGCTGCAGCACCGGTTTTTCCTTTTGAGGTGTTCAAAACGATTCTAGTCCCGCCGTGTTCGTCGGAATTGCACACCATGTGCCGACACTGTTTTTATGCCACCGAGAGGGCGCGAGCGAGGGGTGAGGGCAGTGGTGAGCCCGACGATGAGACGTCGTGGGCGTCGAACCAGATTTGTCGTCATGTGCTCCTGTCCGACCCCGCCCCTGCACTTCCCCAGATGCATCGTGTGTGCGACATCGTGTCCTTGTGGTATATGCAGCTCAGCTGGGCGCCGACATCATCTTAACAGCTATTGATAGGTGACACGAGATGGATGACACCTGTTTCGGGCCCATGAGGGAATTGGAGTGAATGGATTGCTATTTGGCGGCCTAAAGGCCCGTTCATTGGCCAACTTGTTGACCGGTGGCTGACCGCGTCTTTCCGCTGCATTCACAACATCGAAAATCGCAAACTGGCACGGAATATGGGCAAAGCTGGAGGATGCTGCCCAACTATCACTTTTGCCCAGCAAAGTTGCCAGGCGGCGTGCTCACCGACAAGGTGAAGTGAGGGTCGAGTAGTAGCGGCGGCGAGGCGGTCAACACCCTTGTGTCTTATAACAGCGACTTTTTATACCATGATTACCCCGCAAATCCGGGCTTGTTGACATCAGCTGCACACGTTTCCCAAAAGTGCTGTGTGGGCAGAAACACGGCGATGAGCACCAATCTGCTCGTTTCATTCACTGTTCAGAGCGGCGTAGGATGCGCATCAACACGCAACATCTTTCAAGCTACTGCGCTTTTCGATAGCAACATATGCAATGGATATCGAGGTGAGATGTAAAGAGCCCGTAAGATTTCATTACTATCATTTACACTAAATTGAACAAGATCATACCCAGACATGGCGTAGATATGCAAACCCACCCCCCAAGGCCCTAGCCATCTATCTTCTTTTCACCACAAAGCACTCGCATATACGGCATTGTGTGTTTCAACACTGTCAGATACATCACTATCGTCGTCGTCTTCGTCGTCTTCGTCGTCTTCCTCTTCCTCTTCCTCGTCGTCCATATCCTCATCTTCACCCGAATCATCGCCATTAGAGCGTGATATTTCAGGCTGCCGTTCCACAAAGACTTGTTCCGCCAGCTCTTCCCAAAACTTTTCCATTCCCTTCCCTGTGTGTTCTTTGACCTTGAGCGACTTCGCGTCCTCTTTTTCCCTAAAGTTCACATGCGAGTGGTCCTGCTGCAGCATACCGACTTTAAGGTGAGTGAGGTTGAGCTGAGGGATCTTGGAGACGCTGGTAAAGAAGTCTCTCCAAAAGTTTGGCTGGTGACCCATTGGGATGTGGGTAAAGCTGTGGAGGTTCATTCTCCAGAGACTGAGATCTTCCAACGTTGGCGCAAATTTGCCCATGAGCGAGATGAGAATATCGGCCTTGATGCTCTGCTGACCGAGTTCAAGCGTTTTTAGCAATGGTAGCGCGACTGGGTCAGGGTGAAGGAATGATACGGGCATCGTTGTTGCAGGTGGTGGTGCGCTTAGCCACTGTAGGAAGGCCTCGTTATTAGCGACCAAGTGTTTCTCAAAGTTCAACCGCAGATGCGTCAGGTTGGGTGTGTGTCTTAGGAAATGCCGAAGTGAACGGCCTGGATGTAGATCGGCCGAAGTGCCATTGCTGTGGGTATGCAGAAGGCGTACAACCAGGCTGACATTCAACAAAAGTGTGGTCGTGTTGCGCAAGACCGGCTCGATTGTTGGCAAAAGGAAGTCTGGAAGGAAAAAAGCCGAGTCGAGCAGTCCATGTTGGCGAAGTAGCACCTCAAATTGCGGAGGCTGTCGATTGGCTCTCCCCAGGGCATATAGCACACTGGAGAAGATGCGGGAGACAAAGCGCGTCGTGATTTCGGGCGAGTATGACCCCCGATCCGCAAAGCTCAGCCGGACTCCTGTCTCACGGTATACTGTTGTAGCACCCCAGGATGACCAGCTCTTGTCATCGCGAGTCCGCTTATTAGAATCGAAGTCGCGAATGCCCACAGTTTGGAGGTTTTCCAGCCGCGAGAATGCCTCAGAGAACATCTCGCGGTCTACGCCTGTACTCAACAAGGCCTTTTGCTCTTCGTAGCCTTGGATGTATCGAGCAGCCGCCTCTTCATCCCTGAAGCGCAGTGGTATTTCCTCGTAGACGTTGGTGGCAATGATGACGTGTGTCAGCTTCTTGGAGAAGCTGGCGTGCTTGGAAATATCAATCAACGCCTGCAGGCTTGTATGCGTGAGCATAAACTGCTTCTTGCTGAAGAACTCTTGCGAGAACCATTCATAGAGAGACTTTTCTGTTTGTTTGCAGACCAGTCGCAGGGCGCCGAGATCTTCAGTCGGTAGAAGGGCTGAGATTGCAACGAGCAACTCGAGCGGTATTGTGAGAAGCGATGCCATTGCTGGGGATCAGTGACTGAGATGGAGTCAGACTGAGCAGCGCCAGTGCGTGTCTTGCTTGGTCTTCTTATCATGTGGTAGCGCGTCGACCCGCGCAGGCAGACATGGCGAGCTAGTCCCTTTCTGGGCTGATGCCTAAGGGTGCTACCTTCGCGCGCGTCACTCGTCTCGTCGGACGCCTGATTGATTTCCCGAAAGTGTTCAAATAAAGGCGCTCATCGCTGCTGCAGCTGAAAACTACATTACATTTCTCAACCTTCCATTCGCACCAATGCCTCGTAAAGCTGCAACAAAGGCTACCCCACAGGCTGCTCCACCTCTGGATGGATGCTCCGTCGCTACATCTGGCCGCTTCCCGGGAACATCACAATCAGCACTTCAGTCGCGTCTTACGTCACTGGGTGCTACGATTGCATCAAGTGTCACAGCAAACACGACCCATCTCATTGCAACTGAAAAGGATTACGAGAGCAACTCGACCAAGACCAAAGCCGCGGCTGCCCACAACGTACCTGTAGTGACCATTGAATGGCTGGACGAATGCGAGTCCAAAGGTACGCAATCTTGTCCCACGAGGCCCTCTTGGAAGAAGCAAATAAAGTGTTGAGGTTGACGTTTGGTGCAGGCTCCAAAGTAGATGAAACACAGTACTTGCTGTCGTCTGGCACTGCTCCTGCGCAGAAGAATGGTTCAAACAAACGACCTGCCTCTACCACTCCTCCAGCACCATCTCAAGAAAAGAAACCCAAGATTAAGGAGGATGCCAAGGTAGGAGATGGCCAGAATGCAAAATCAAAGACGATTGCCATCTCCATAGATGAACACTGTCCTCTTGCAAACTATCAGGTGTACATTGACTCTAATGGCACTATATACGATGCGTCACTTAACCAAACCAACGCCGGTGCCAACAACAGTAAGCTTTACGTCTAGAAAAACATCTGTGATATACATTCTAACCTTGTGTCTATCTGTGCAGACAAGTTTTACAAATGTCAGGTGTGTTTCCTTGATTGCAAACAACCCTAGACTCGACTAATGGACCTAGCTTCTTGTCAATGGAACAGACTATAAAACTTGGGTAAGCAGCACTTTCTCAAATAGTTTTTTCTGAACGTTTTATCGCCTAACCTTTTTTTGTCAACCTGTAGACTCGCTGGGGGCGCGTTGGTGAGCGTGGGCAGAGCGCTGTGCTGGGCTCAGGCAGCTTGCTTGAGGCCATGAGGGAATTTGAAAAGAAGTTCAAGGACAAATCAGGTCTCAAATGGGAGAATCGTAGTGCAGAGCCGAAGTCAGGAAAATACGCATACGTGGAGCGTTCGTACAACCCTGACTCAGATGATGAGGACGAGGATGACACGGGTGCGGGTGCGGATGACGAAAAGAAAGACGTCAAACCCGCCGAGTGCACGCTTGACAAGCCCACACAGGACCTTATGAAGCTCATCTTCAACCAGGTAAGCATGAGTCTTCTTTCATTTGGTCACCAAATCACATGTCATGAAGGCCTTCAGCTCACCCAAATTAGGATTATTTCGATGCCACCATGTCTGCCCTCAATTACGATGCAAACAAACTACCGCTGGGCAAACTTAGCAAGGGAACAATTGCTCGTGGTTTCCAAGCTTTGAAGGAGCTCTCCGTAATTCTAGACAATACGGATGCAGCATCGCGAGCAGAAGTAGAACGCCTATCCAACCACTACTTTTCCGTGATCCCACACGCCTTTGGTCGCAACCGTCCGCCAGTCATCCGAGACAATGACGCCCTTAAGAAGGAAATCGAGCTACTCGAGAGTCTGTCAGACATGAAGGAGACTGCTGCCATGCTCAAGAGCCAGCTGAAGGATGACAGCGGCATCCACAAGCTCGACAAGCAATTCCAGGGTCTCGGCATGGAAGAGATGACCCCACTTGACCACAAGAGCCAGGAGTTTGTCGAAATCGACCAGTATCTCAATTGCTCAAAAGGAAAAACGCATGCAGTCAATTACCAAGTCCAAGATATCTTCCGCATCGAACGCAAGGGTGAATTCGAACGTTTCGATAAGAGCAAGTTCTCGAAGATTTCGAGCAACCGCCGTCTCCTATGGCACGGTTCTCGCGTCACCAACTGTAAGCACCTATCCTTTGTTAACACTTTGTGGAACAACCACTGACCAAGTATGCACCTACAGTCGGTGGAATCCTCAGCCAAGGTCTCCGCATCGCACCCCCCGAAGCCCCTGTATCCGGCTACATGTTCGGCAAAGGTATCTACCTCGCCGACATGTCTTCCAAATCCGCAAACTACTGCGCCTCATACAACTCTGGAGGCACTGCTTTGCTCCTCCTTTGCGAGGCCGAGCTCGGCAATCCAATGCACCAGCTCACCCATGCCTCGTACACTGCTGGCGAGGATGCGGTCAAGAATGGCATGTACAGTACATGGGGAATGGGTTCGACGGGCCCAAGTAAGTGGAAGGATGCAAGCTGCATCAATCCCGCGCTGAAGGGATGTACAATGGTAAGTTTGACACTCCTCTGCCCCTTTTTTTGATCCCTTGGAAACTGACGGGTTGAATAGCCCGATGTATCGACTCCGGCTGGCAAGACGAATGTGTCTGGAGCGACCTTGTTGTACAACGAGTACATTGCGTATGATGTTGCGCAGGTTAAGCTGCGGTACCTCCTTCGTGTTCGCATGTAGACTTTTATTTTTGCATATTTCCCAACTCATATCTCGTTTTACGATATCTTTTTTCTATTATGCCAAAGGTGTTGAATGTGGATAGGCGTTTCTGGTCAAAAAGGGGTCGTAGGTCTTCCCTTCAGTTAATGACGAATTGAAGCAATTAAAAATGACATAAGTGTATTCGTTCAGTCAAGTACGTAAATTGGCTTTGGGGGGCCCGGTATAAACATAAAGCAATCGTCAAACGCCCATGCGAAGCATCGTATCTGAAAACAAAGGTTGGAAAACACATTCATCTACTCGCGTCCGCCAACGCGCCTCTCATAGTCATCAGCAAGTCTAGAAGCATCCACAACCTCAACGCCTTTACCCAGACCCACCATATCAGTGACCTGCCACCACCTGACGGTATGCTCGTTCTCCTTGCCCTTGCGCAGCGGGCCCTCATCATCCGTATCGACGAGCCCACCCAAGCCCGTGCCATCGCCACCAACAACGACGATCGTCTGGCCAACCCACTTCCTCACATCCTCAATGTTCTGGCCATTGACGCCGCTGAGCGCATCAACAACGTACACGAGATCCGGACCAATGTGGCGCAGCATGTGCACGAAGCCCGTCGGGGTGCTAAACGGCATGATCATTGCGGGGTCCTCGACGAGGCGCAGGGCCTGTGAGTGCAGCGTGTTCCAGAGGGTGGCGTCGGAGTCGCGTGTGCTGGGGGCAGGGGTGTACACGATGGGGTCGATGGAGGAGAGTTCCTCGCCCGGTGTGCGCGCCGGGGTGCTGATAGCAGAGTAGGAGCCGCCGAGGGAGGAGTTTGCGCGGGACTGGGGGCGGGAGCGGAAAGCAGGGGAGTAGATGAGGACGAAGAGGTTTATGCGGGAGAAGTCGGTGTCGGGGAGGTGGGAGAGGATGGTCTGTTTGGCGTTAGTGATTGGCATAATGTATGAGAGGAGCATGAGGAGGCTGACTGCAGTCTCTTCGCGGTAGGTGGTGGAGTCGTCGAAGTGGTTTTCTGACAGGCTTTCTGCGCTGACGACGAGGACGACGGTTTTGCGCTTGCCCCAGTTCTTGTCTTCGATCTTGCGCATGCTGGCCGCGAAGCTCTTGGTTTGCGCGTCTACAGCTGCGGTGCTGTCCCGGCTCTGGGCTTCGACGTTCCTCCTCAGGGCTGCCTCCTCACTCCATCGTGAGTGGTCGCCAAAGGCCTCGTCCTTGTCCTCCTCGCGGATCGAGGCCAGGGCAGCGCCAGCAGCAGCGCCAGCAGCAGCCCAGCCGGCCGCCGTCTTCTTGCTCACGGTATCGAAGAACTGCTGGGGCGAGGGTGTGCGGCGGATGACTCCCTGGGCGCGGCCGAGCAGAGTTGCATCATTGCTGTATGCTTCACCGCCCACGCCCCCGGGCCCCAGGTCACGGCCCATGGGCGCCGTGCCATTTCGCCTGTCGTGGGCACTGTCTTCACCGTAGCTCAGATCATCGTCTGAAGAGTAGTCCTGCCCGTCTTCGCGCGCGCTCCACACCCATGCCGCCAGGCCAGCTGTCGCGACAGTCACGGTGAGGATCAGAGGAACATAGAAGCCCAGGGCGCTGCGGTTGCGAGAGCTCGACTGGCGACGGTCGTAACGGTCGTAATTGAAAGACGACATTCTCTAGGTCATGTCGCTATGGAGAGGTTTGGTCTTCTGTTGTAGCTTGGATCCTGCAGTTGTTGCTTTTTCTTTTAGGGGCGTGAGTTGTTTTGTTTCGAGCGTCAGCAGTGCAGAGCTTCCCTGTTGTTGTGGGTGGCTGGGGAAAACGCAAGGCTGATGCTTGACACATGCGTTAGCGGCCCTAGGCTGCTGTGCTTGCCGTCCTACGAGTCATGTCCGCTTTTTGACGTAGCGGGGTGACTCTTACACACCCCCACACCATTCCTCTGTACCTGCAGCAGAGGAGTCAGCAGACTGCCTACCTACACCTACTCTGGCATACACAGGCCAAGGCCGCTGTCTTCTTACCCATTGGGGCACTGTGAAAATCACCGCGCCCCGTCCCCGACCAGGACTGCACCAAGACACACATCCAAAATTATTCGACGATGCCGCACGCGACGAGTCTTCCCCCACCTGGCTTCCAGGCCCTCATTCTCTGCGGACCTGGAGCCTCGTTCAGTACCTTTACATCTTCGCCGAAAGACATACCAAAGGCGCTGCTGCCCATCGCCAACCGGCCTATGGTCTGGTACCCGCTGGAATGGTGCTATCGCATGGGAGTAACAGGTAGGCTGCAAGAAAAAAAAAGAGTTGAACACAGTAGAGGGCTAACAATGCGCAGACATCACAGTCGTTACCCCGCCAGAATCACTAGAAGCCATCGAGGCTGCCATGTCACAAAATCCACATCTCACAACCCTCCCATCACCGAAACCAGACATTCTCGCGCCAAAAGGCCTCTCACACCAGACTAGTACTGGCGACCTCTTCCGATTATCTGAACTACAAAGTGCAATCAAGGGCGACTTCATCGTACTTCCTTGCGATCTCGTATGCGAGCTGGACGGTACATCGTTGGTGGATGCATGGATGGTCGAACAGGGCGGATTTGCAGGCGCAAGTGGAGGGCTGGATCACAACGGCGGCAAGATCGCATATGGTGCTGGAGGAGAAAAACTAGGACGAAGAGGCGGAATGGGCGTATGGTATGAGACCAAGGGCGAGGGTAGCAGAAAGAAGGAAGAGACCGACTTCATTGCGACAACACCTTTGCCCAAGCCAATCGTCTCTGTACCCACCGACTCATTGCGGCGCAACATCTCCAAACTCGTGTACTCGGTTCCCACAGACACTCTCAACGATATTACTGAAGAACAAAAAACGTTTCCCCTTCGACATTCACTCATCAGAAAACATGCTCGTATCAGGATGTTAACGACGCACCGCGACGCGCACATTTACATTTTCCCCTATTGGGTCATGGAGATGATCCGCAAGAACGAAAAGTTTGAGAGTATAAGTGAGGAAGTAATGGGTTGGTGGGCGAAAGCCAGTTGGCAAGATGGACTAGGCGAGAAGCTGGGTCTGCGGCAGATATTGCAAGAAGAGAACGAAGAGTCAGATCACGGGTCCCAAATGGTTGAGGAGGACATCGATGTTTCCAAGTTCAGCACCACATACTCTGGAAACAATGTAGAGAACGAAGAGAGCCCAACGACTGCGTTAGCATCAAGAGTCACGAGATCGTCGAGCATACCCGACTCCGCAAAGTCACTCACAGCAAACTCAAAACTTGTCGTCCCGCCTATCCTCGCATACGTCCAGCCTTCGGGTCCCAATGAGCCTCTTATCCGCCGTGTTGACGACTCCCACCTCCTGCTGACCATCTCGCTCCGACTCGCCAAACTGCCATCCACCGAGGAGGTTGGAAAAGAAGCCGCTTCACCATTTGCCCATCACTCCAAGATTGCACACAAAGAATCCATTCCACGCAAATGCCGAGTAGAGGCAGAAAATTCGCTGCTCGCCGACAATGTCATTGTCGAGGAGAAGACCAACATCAAAGAAAGCGTCATTGGCTCAAACTGCAAGATTGGCGAGGGCGCAAGGCTGCTAAGATGTTTGTTGATGGATGGCGTCGAGGTCGGTCCTAATGTCCAGCTTACCGATTGTATCCTCGGTAGGCGGTGCAAAATGGAGGGTGGAGATGCAAAGGATGGTGATAAAACTGTGCTCAAGGACTGTGAGGTGCAGGATGGTCAGGTGATTGAATGGGGAAGTAAGTCTACCGCCTTTTTTCTCAATTGTATCCACAAGAGAGGAATGCTAATAATTGTGCAGCTGAGGCCAAAAACGAAAAGTTTATGCGCTTCGATGTGGGCGATGATGTCGGTAGTGAGGGCTTTGGTGGCGATGAAATGGATGGTGATGCGGGTGATGATGAGGGTATTCCATTGCGGTAGAAGTTGTGTTGGTTTTATGAAAGAATATCAAGACTACATGAAGTTTATGAGTAAATCGATGGTTGTATTCACGAATGTGACTGAAGAGACTGCTCATCATATCCCACGAGCTGACAAGACTGATCCCGTATTTACGATGTTTGATGAATCTCAAAGCTGCGTATTTGATGGCTCTGGAGGATAGCACGATGATGGCCTATGGGTTCAATTCGTACGTGTGTGACCTTTCACTTTCACTCGAGTCTGCGCAGCCACGGTCACATGTACGACTCCTCTCACAGTACTCGCAAATTCATGACCGTCAGTGAACCTTTGTTTACCTTCCCCTCTCCAATCACTAAGCTATAATACTGTGTCAATATCAACTCAACAACCGGCATCATGAAGTTCAACACCGCCATCAGCGCTGCAACCTTTATCTCCTTCGTCGCCACCCGAGTAATCCAACCGCTCTCAACATCCCCCAATCTCGAAACCAACGACTTCCAACTGACCACCGCCTTCTGGGACGATGACTACGCCTCGCCCAGCGAATGGGCCACCTACACAACCAAAGGCGGCGCCCTCATGTGCGGCCTAACTGGCTCCGACGAAACCGCCGGCTCCCTCCTCCAAGACACGCGTAACCCCCGCTCAGCCGCCAGCCCCTTCACCAGCGACCTCAAATCCGAGCTCTCAGCCTGGCACTGGCGCAGCGTCAACCCTTCCTCCTTCAGCTGCAGCTTCTCCACCCATTGGGGCTTCCCGCACGCCATGCGCTCGCTAGGTCTCAGTGGTACATCAGCCACCCAGGGCGGCGACAACCACTGTTATAGGATTGAACATTGGGAACCGGACATGCAGGATGAGCACGGGAACCAGGTGCCTGCGATAAATCAGTGGTATAGTGTTCCTGGGGTGGGAAGGCAGTATCGTGTAAGCCTTTGTCCTCTATTTTCCCCTCCCCTTGTCAAAGTTGTGCAAGAAAAGAGACAAGAAAAGAGTTGTTCAAAGTAGAAGAAAAATAAAAGTTAATGTTACAACGTAGGCAACAAAAGCCCACTACGAATTCGCCATTAATCCCCGCGGCGGCGCACTATTCGGCCTCTTCCTCGAAAGCCCACAATCCGCCGCCCGCACCCTCTGGTACGCAGGCAAGCGCTCCCCGAACCTCGAGGACCTGCCCGCTCTACGCGCCTTTTCGGATATTCTATGGGGATACTGGGTGCGCGACAATGCTCACGTGGGGAATGTGCGGTTTTTGTTCATGATAGGGATTTCGAATGATGTTACGAATAGGCTTATTGCGAGTGCGTTACGGGATGTACAACAGACGTTGGGGGAGTGGCCCGGGACGGAGTTTGGGATGGGGACGGAGCAAGGGAAGGCGTTGCTAGGTATGTGTTGTTCCTATTCTCTTTGAAGGTTGACTTTATTTGGGTGAAGGGAGAGAGAGAGACAGAGTGTGCTAACGGAGGGGGGGGGGGGGATAGGATCACCGAATGGAGCGGCCTTTGCGTATTTTCTCATGCAGCATAAGGCGCAGTTGGGGCAGAAGATTATCACCAAGGTTACGGTTTTCCGGCCGGAGAACGATGACGATGTGGATTTTGTGGATGCGTCCTTATGCTTTCATGTTGCGGACGGGGGACAGGTAGCTGGAGAGGAGATGGGGGGGCGCATTGTGAGTAGGAATGTAGCGGACGATGGGACAGCTAGGAGTTTGACTAGGGTGCATGAAGTTCATGCCTAGGGGAAGGTAAGGCGGCGGATAGTGTAAGAGGTGGTTTCCAGTGTAATTACTGTGAGATAATCCAAACATGACATTTTCACCAACCTTGATCTTGATTGGTACGTGAAGTGACGAGTTTGGGCGTTCATGCATTCTACTTCGTATAAATGTGGTCACTGGATACACACCGGATACTGGAAAGCGGAAATGGGTCACTGCTGACTGATAGATGTGCGGTGGATGCCGTGATCAAAACTGGAGCAGGTGGGTATCTAGGCCCGTGCTGTGGCTATCCCACTGATTAGAGAGCGGGTGCCTTGAAGCAAGCTTGAGTCACTGATATGTACGTCGTTAGTAAAGGTTACAGTAGGCGAGTAGTCCGGCATGTGATGTTGCTATCCCCCTGGATACGGACCGGATGGTTGAGAACGAGTTTCGATCGCCGATACTTACATCGTGATCCGGGCTGGGCCGGGTGGGTATCTCGGCGTGTGGCTAGGAGCAGTCTCTCATAGTGCGGATTACCAGTGTCATGGTTCTAGACGCGCAGCGCTTGTCGACAATTTCCACCTCAGATGGAGGATTCGATTAATGTGTAGTGGGAAATTGCGCAATGCTCGATCAGCCGTATTCCAAAAAAAAAATTCTCTAAGGAATTGGTGGCCCTAAATCAGGCGTCCAAAACCGTACGTTCGTCCCATACCAACTTGATGTCTTTTGTTCTTCTCCCTTCTAGCGAATATCCCGGAGACCTCGGGAGGTTGTTGTGCGGAGTACCGTGGAAAGAAAGATGTAAGCCAAGCTGACGCCGGACAGTTCTTGCGCGTGCCCTTGTCGCCTAGTTAATGCCTAGGTCATACCTAACGCATTTCATACCTGAAGTGACCCCTACAGCCTCTTTTCTCCTTCTACTTTCTGCATGACGAGCTAGGCGTAACGGCGAACAGTTTTTTGATCGACGTTATATATTCCGTTTTAGAGCCAAATGCGGATGTCACAGTTAATTAGCCCTTGGCGAAACCCCACCATTTGGCCGAATAACTGGAAATTGTGAATTTTGGTTGGACAATATTAGTAAGTAGGATTCGACTAGGAAATGTCTGGAAAGCCCGGTGTTTGAGGCGATCAACTGGTATCCGGATTTGGGTGTGAGGCGCTGGGGCGCGAACGATTAGCTTTGAGGGTCAAGTTTACCGTGTAATATACGTCGTCATGTAAGCAAAACGGGTAAGCACTTTCTTCAAAGCTGAAACTTTTGTCGCTGACGTCTCGTAGAGTCAGATTAGTGTGGTAGCTCCGTCGCGTTTCGTGATGAAGGACGTGGTCGTCGTGGGTGGCCGCGACTTCCTTGTAACATTAGGTTTAGTATAGCTACTGCCAAGGCAATCGCAGCAAGTAAGGTAATTTTTCGGTCCTTGGTTGAACGGTCCCACAGCAAAAGTGGTGTGAGTTTTACTCCAGGGCCCTGGTTGTCTTGTAGCTAGGGGTGCGTGGTGTTGAATCGAATAGGTGTGGCAGACAATTCTGCAGTTTGTAGGTAAGATGTTCAGATTAATCATGCCGAAAATTCTTATCAGTAACAGGGACACTCTTAGTGAGCCACTTGGCGACTTTGTCAGCCACAGGACCGAGGCTGTGGATTCCACGCCCAAGGATGAGGGCTCCCATGCTACCGACAAAACCGGAAAACGGCGGCCCCATCAACCGCGATGCAACATCACGCCAATACACCGCATTTTCGCATACCTGCTAATGCAGACTTAATTCAATATTTTGGAGCTCGACCTTGATAGATATCTATAATAGTTATGATTAACTGTTATTAGGCCCACAGATACACTGCAAAAATGGCGGCGCGTTTAGGAGTTTAGAGCTATAGGCAGTACCTATCCGCTTGCTCCTC